AAAATTTAATTTCATAAGGTTAATTCACACCTTGGTGAAACTTTAAACTATATTCATTTCTTAAAAACTTCACAAACTAGAGCAAACTCTGCGCACTGGTTACGCTACGGCCAGTAACCACTGCCTTCACACAAATCATCATTTTTACACAATCATGTGATAAGACGATCATCACATGATTCATGTGATGATCGTCTTATCACATGATTGTGTAAAAATGGCGTATACGCCAATGAACTCGTTGAAAAAATGTTTTATCTGTAATAAACAGCAAATAAAACTTGAATTCTGGTCTCAAATATGTCGATATGATTGAAAAAAAATTATTTTTGTAAAGCGTAGAGTCGAAATTAATAATTACTTGAATGATTTCTCTTTCGAGAGGGGTCATTGTTTTGGAAATAAACGGTGCGGTATTAAAATTTTTAAAAATTATTTTCATTATATTTATGTTTCCAAAATTATTTCAATTTTAGTTCACATCTAACACCTATCGGTCTTGAAACATTAGCAAAACCGTGTTTACTTTTTAAAATAAATATAACAAGAGCTGTCAGTAGGACAGCAACGCTCGACTATTCTTAGTGCTTGATAGTAAAAAAAATGCTTGATACAGTTACCTCCTCCTGTCTACAGGTTGGGGTCATGATGGTGAACAAGTGTGCAAAGTTTCAAAGCCATATGTCAATGGACTTTGAAAATATTTGAACTATTACAAAAACTTTAACATAAATTCTAAGTCAAAAAAAGGGGCATAATTCTGTCAAAATGCTTGATAGAGTTACCTCCTCCTGTTTACAGGTTGGGGTCATGATGTTGAACAAGTGTGCAAAGTTTCAAAGCCATATGTCAATGGACTTTGAAAATATTTGAACTATTACAAAAACTTTAACATAAATTCTTAGTCGAAAAAGGGGCATAATTCTGTCAAAATGCTTGATAGAGTTACCACCTCCTGTTTACAGGTTGGGGTCATGATGTTGAAGAAGTGTGCAAAGTTTCAAAGCCATATGTCAATGGACTTTGAAAATATTTGAACTATTACAAAAACTTTAACGTAAATTCTAAGTCGAAAAAGGGGCATAATTCTGGTCAAAAATGCTTTGATAGAGTTACCTCCTCCTGTCTACAGGTTGGGGTCATGATGGTGAACAAGTGTGCAAAGTTTCAAAGCCATATGTCAATGGACTTTGAAAATATTTGAACTATTACAAAAACTTTAACGTAAATTCTAAGTCGAAAAAGGGGCATAATTCTGTCAAAATGCTTGATAGTGTTACCTCCTCCTGTCTACAGGTTGGGGTCATGATGGTGAACAAGTGTGCAAAGTTTCAAAGCCATATGTCAATGGACTTTGAAAATATTTGAACTATTACAAAAACTTTAACATAAGTGGTTACGCCGACGCTCGGGTGACTGCAATAGCTCTACTTATTCTTATCGAATAGTCGAGCTAAAAATTGAAAAAATTTATATCGTCAAAAATCTTGACAAAAATGTTGTGATGGCAGAGATCTAATTCTGTAAGGGGAGATTGAAACTAGAGCTGTCAGTAGGACAGTGTGTTTGACTATCCACAGTGCTTGAAACCATAGCCTGGTTAATATTGAAGTTAATGAAAATGAAGATTTAAAAATAAGAAAATTATTTATGACATAGTTATGAGCTTGGGATAGCCAAAGAATTTTGTATGGTCACAAAGATCCATATTTAATTAGAAATCCAGGCCAAGTTATTGGCTTTTGAAACTGAGTGAACTTCAATATCATCACCAGGGGTTTTACAAAAGTTTTCTTGTGTTTGTGATGCAGGTTTGGGTCCAAGTACATAGCTATAAATTCAAGAATACTTTTAACAAACAGCTTAAGACTATTATACATGTATGTATCATAGATTGTCTCAAAGAAAAATTCTGACTACTTAAAGACAAAATCTGAATACTAACCAATGTAAGGTCCTGCTGTAGCCCTTGAATCAACAGCCACTACAACACCATGTTGAAACTTGAAGGCAAGTGTTGTAGTACCATGGTCAAAGTGAATTTTTACCTTGCTGTCCTTCTCTTGAAATTGTTGTAAATTTTGAACCGGCTGAAAGAAAATGGATATAATGCAGTAAAACTTAAACACCCAAAATAGCTGGAAAAGGTCCTGTTTATGCTTTGGACAAAAATAAAAAATAACAAATTAATCATAAAAAAAAATAAAATTTCTAGCTATAAAAAGCAGCAAGTTTTTGAAACTTGAAATGACATTTTGTATAATTCAATATGTTAGACGTTGAGGGCTTGTTATAGTCAAGCCTGATGTCTAATACCTATCGCTCAAAAACGCACAACAGCATAAAAATTTAAAAAATGTCTATTATCTTGCCTTTCAAGCTTTAATAAAAAGTTTATCAAATTTTCTTTCAATTTCATGGTCAATCATTAATAAAAAATTTCAAACAATGTAATTATCAATTTAAAATAAAATATAAACATCATTAGGATCAGTTTGCTGAACCGGTAGTTTGACGAAACCACTCTCACCCGTAGCACCTAATTTCATATTACGGTACCCTGATTTATTTGTTTTATCTTGCGTTAAATGCTATGTGTTTATGAGCATTTTCGATATGACTTTGCTTTGCCAAGAAGTAAAAATATCTCAAAGCAATGTCTCTGATGAATACCTTTAGTAGGGGTCCTTAGTAGTCCTATAAATATGATGTCGCTTTGAGATATTTTTGCTTCTGGGCAAAGCAACGTCATATTGAAATTGCTCAAAAACCCATAGCATGTTCCGCAAGAAAATCGGGCGGAACGAAAAAAATTAAGACAGCGTGTATTTACATTAGTTTTGACCTATTTATGAACAAAACTAAAAAATAAATATCTTTTGTCAAAATAATTAAACTGTAACATCCGAAAAATCATGATTAAATCCTCTCATGTATTTAAATACCTTTTACAGCTGATAAACAAATTGCAGCCATACAGTGCGCGAAATCTGATTAGCTAATTCAAATGCAAGCGTTTAACTGAGTCAGAACATTCTAACGGAATATTTTTTAACAAAATAATTGCCCATGCACCATCATGTGTTCGAATATATTTTTTCGTTCAAAAATTTGGAATCAATCTGTAAAGCACCTTGCTTAACCAGTATGGCTGATAGACAAAAATAGATTGATGTTTATACGCGGAAAGTCCGAGCAGGGCCTAAGGCCCCGCGAGGGCTGTAGCGCTCTTAGATAACATGTATGACGCGTATCAATTCAAATGAAATCAAATAAAAAGTAAATGAAAATTTCACAAAAATTTATATCCTATACCTAATGAGCTGTGAAAAAATCCTTAGTTAATTGGGCGCCGCCATTTTGAAATCTTTTAGAGTTAAATATAGATATCAGGGCGCTTTTGAGCGTCTACATAATTCAGACTTTTGCTAGAAGGCGCTAGCCAATCAACACTTCCGGTGACAGAATGATGTACAAAATCAGAAAATAAACATGCATTTCATTGATAAGAACAATAGTAATGATGATATATATAAAAATTTACTTCCTTTTTGATAAATTAGCAATTTAAAAGATAACATAAAAACAATAAATGTGATTAGAGGTTAACAAAAATGGCAGACGGGATTTTCCAAACGCCGACGCATGCGCAGTGGTCCCCTTTAACAAATCCGATGATAGGTTGAACACCACCAATTTATTTTTTTCTGTTAATGGTACAAAATACCTGCATTTACTTATTAACGAAGTGCAAGAAAGATCTGGTTGACATGTACACTAAACATGTTATGCTTAAATCATAAGAGCTTTCCGCGCCATAGGTAGCACCTAATTTCATATTATTTTATTTTAAATTGATAAGTACATTGTTTGAGAGTTTCTGTGTATGATTGAGCAAGAAATTGAAAGTAAAGAAGATAAGCTTTTGAATAAAGCTTCAAAGGTAAGACAATAGACATTTTTTGAATTGTTTTTGATGCTATGAGTTTTTGAGCAATAACTATTAGACGTCAGGCTTGACCGTCATAAACTATAAAAAACCTGTAACGTCTAATTTATTTGACTAGGGTCCTTATTTCTGCTAATTCTATTTATTTTTTTTGTATAAATAAAAAAATAAAAATAAAATTAGCAGAAATAATCAGCCTGTTTATTCAAAACATAATTTATTTCATTAAGAAATACTGCATTGAGCGCAATGGCCATGAAGGTCCAGAAAAAAAATATAACAAAACTGAGAAAACATTAAAACATAAATAATGTAACATGTACCCCACCCAACAGTTTTTAACGTGAAATGAGTTGCACTTTCGAAACGGGTCCAGTTAAAGAGAAAAGGAAACGCTTACATCAAAGTTGTATGGCATCGAAAAATTTTGAGATAAACATTCTACGTCTTGAAACAATTGCGATGCATCTGTTCCTCTGTTTCCACCAAATATTTTAGTTTGAAGTGATGTATCACGGAATCCACAAACATCGGCGAGCGCCATTTTTATTAGTTCAGGTAAAATTGCTGTTAGTCACTCTGATTGGTTATTAATAGACTGGTTTCTAGCTTTTTGCGGCGTAATGATGAGAATGAGAACCAATAGCTGGTTTCTTCTGGTACCCAGCATGTTTTTGTAAACAAAAAGAAAGAAAGAGAAATTAAAAATGAATGACATTATTGTACCGATAGTTTCCTTTGTTGCTTCTCTATTCTTTGTTATTCTGTTCATTGCATTTGGTAAGATACTTCTGTAAAATAGAAACTAAAAAACGTGTTTTGAACAATTTATAATTCATTTATACTCCTGGCATGTAAATTTTAATAGTCATTATAGACTAGTTTTCAGATTGCCATATGGTACATGGTGAGAAGATTTTAGCAGATTCTGTTGAATTATAGTCATTATTGATTACATGTATATAATGCTCCAATTTTGTCATTCCCTTGATTGATTTTTGATCACCCATATAAGGCCATAGTTTGATATTAATCAAGTTCAGTACAATTTTCTACATTTCATTTGTAATAGACTTATTGGCTGTTATTATTTTTGATAATACTAATAATATTTGAAATATTATTTTTCATGATTCAAAGGTATATTTATCTAATAGTATTGATAAAAAGTAACCAGGTGTCACAGCTAGGTGTCAAGTCTAGTTCTTACCTGTTTTATTTTAACACCTGCTATTGGGTACTGCATGATGGTTATTCCATAGTAATTTAAGAGGTGCACTGGTAAGAGATTCAGGTAATCCTCGCATGTATCAGTGCTATACACTGGGCATGTAAACATGTAAACGAACCAATGGGTCTATTCAGTAAGAGCTAGGGACTGTTTCCTTGACTCCCTTTTATCTCATAGCTTCGGCTGAGTCTTTCAATTCAATTCAATTCATACCTGCTTAGTGTAATTGTAAACAAACTTTGAAGCAGTATGATGGTGTTGTAGATATTTAAGACAGGGGTTGAATCAGAAGTATTTATGGTAGTCAGATGTGACTGCGATTAGTCAAAAGCTGTGACATTGCATTTTTCTAGTAGGTATGATGAGTCAAAGTACTATAAGTATAAAAGCCATATTTTATACCTTTGGATTAGTTCTGGCTTTCATATTTAAACTGAAAAAGTTACTTTGATTTTAACGTTGTGCGACAGTAACTGGTCTAGCAGTACTATAAAACCTGTTAGCTGAAGTCACTTTAGCTATCTTTGGATCAGTTTAGTTTTAGTGTCTATAAGTTTGTAATTCATTAGCTATTCAGTTCTCTTCTATATGTTATTGTCACTAAATTCTACTTTCGTAGTAAATGATTACAGAGAGACAGATATGGTTAGTATTTGCCACAATATAATGATATACCAGTTGTTTTTGGCAAATATCATATGGTTTTGATAAATAGTTCATTGATCAACACTACATTGTAAATAGATAAAGTTTTTTTATGAACTAAATTATAATTTTAATATAAATATAAATGATATTGTTTCTCAATATTTTCTCATTGAATTTTATAGGTTGGTATGTTGTATGGACATTATTTCTCAAAAAGTTCAAGTTTGTACGGGAACTTCTTGGTACCAGTTCAGAATCAGATGTACAAGAAAAACCAAAAAGGACAAGAGAAAGAAAAATCAGACGTGATTAGATCTCGATTTACGCTTAAAGATACCTCAATATTTTGAAGTGTTCGGCAAAGAAAAAGGATTCTGTGATACCATTTTGAATGTTAACAGCTAGTTTTGATCAGCTCACTTATGAGATATTATGTGTCATGAAATATTCTGTATCAGGAGATATTCTGTTTCAGGAGATATGATAAGTTTTTCTGCAGATAATGTATCAGTGCATATTATCTTTCATAAATATTTTCATTTTATTGTAAATTAAACTTTTATGCATTTTCATCTAAATAACTAAACTGTGTATCTGTCATTGAGCAAAACTGCATCTTGTAAGTTAAAATGTGTATTATATGGTGTGCATTGTTTTAGGATAGTGTTAAATAATCTTTGAATGGTAATAACTAGTCTAGTTGTGAATATATATCTTACCTGCCATCAGGATACATGCAATATTTACTATGTAACTACAATTTTACCCAGATTTTAATGCCATGTTTACATGTAAATGAAGGAATCTGTATGAATGATGTGCAATTTTGTATTGATTGTGGAATGAACACTTCTGAAACTTTTGACAAAAGCAGGATACTTTAATGAGTGCAATAGTTTTTGAGGACATAAATGATTTGTTATTGAGGTTGTGTCTATGTATGGTTATGTTTCACTGGCTTCCTGTAGCTTCTAGATCATCTGAGTACTTTAAAAAGGTGTTGTTCAACATCCTTTCCTTGTTTACTAAATACTTTAAAGATTAAATGACTGTCTCTACTGGATGTATTAATTTAGTTTTATAGACAGTGTATAACAATGGCATTAATATAATTATTAAGTCAGGGCTATTCTTGCATGCCATCTTTTTTTTCTGAGTGTTTGTAGTTTTTCCTTATGCATTATGTTTATTTATCTGCCTTTAAAGGGACTCCACTGAGGTTTTTGACATGACAGGACTGACAATAACTTTCCAAGATTAATGTTCAATTTGATGTAGTTCTAGACTAAGAGCTTGTGTCCAAAATTTCTGATTTCACTCAAATCGAGCAAAGAAAATAGCACAAACATACAATTTTCAATTTATGTCTGGGTATATTTCCTAATTATCCTTTGCATATCTTTCTGTTTTAAATGCCCCAGTTGATTTTATAAGAAATTCAAATTGTATGTTTTTAGGCTTTCAGATCTTAGTGGAGTTCCTTTAATTTATTCCTTTAATTTGTAATTATGTATGTTATTATGTATGTAACCAATATAGTGCGTTTGCGACCAGCATGGATCCAGACCAGCCTGCGCATCCGCCCAGACTGATAAGGATCCATGCTGTTCGCTATCAGTTTCTCTACTTGCAATAGAGTTGGTAAGCGAACAGCATGGATCCTGATCAAACTGTGCGGATGCGCAGGCTGGTCTGGATCCTTGCTGGTCGCAAACGCACTATGTTGGTTTTGTCGTTATGCGGCTCAATTAATTACATACATTTTTGGTTATTCTCAGAGTATACAGCATTCTTTGATTGTTAACAATCAACATTATATATTAGTTAACAAAATTATGAAGTGGGGAAAACAAATTGCCTAGAAGCCTGACAACTATTATACTGGTTTTACATGTAGGTTTAAACCACTTGCATAAGAATTTTTGAGTGAAAATATGAAGTGAAAAAAAATGTGGTCACAGTATTGTTTCATATTTTATTTCAAGAAACACATAGAAATGGTTAAAGAAATTTCCTGCAATTGATGCAAGTCATTTGAGTAAAGGATAGTGTTGTGATATAAGGTTATGCTTTTTAAAAGCTCTAGCTTTACAATTGTGTGTAACGATCATGTTTTGTCATATGTTTAGACAAAAAAATCAACATTTGAAATATTCATCTTTTATATGATACAAGCTGTTTGTTTTAACTAATTGATGGCACATGTAATTGTATTTCAGATTTTTTTGTAGTTTTTATTCATCATGTTTTATATATCTTGTATATATCAGTCATACCAGAAAGCAGGGATCAGTTTTATCTATGAATAAAATAAAATGTAAATTGTATCAAGTGATTCTGTATTTTCATTGTTTATTTTGCACAGATAATGTGTTTGATAATGATTTTCTTTAACATTATTTCCTAGTTAACTGTCAATGATATCCCCATTGTTGAACATATTGTTGAGTTAACATATTGTTGATTTAGCATTTAGTTGTATGTTTCTATTTGATCTGGTTCCCGACGGTCAAAATAACTAAGTGATAATTATGTGAGATTTGTGTGTACATAATACATCGTTGTATACCATGACATTAATGTTAAACAGTGTTACCTGGTACATATGACCAGTATGACAGTCTAGATATGTTATCATTACAAGATAACATTTTGATAGGTAAGCAAAAGATGTCATACCATAAAAACGTTCATTGGAAAATTTTCCAAATAATTTCACAAATGACTATATCCTAAATTTTATATAGAAGTCATTTAGTAAGTTTGAAATGCAGCAAATTTATTTATTTCATTTAGCATTGTTTTAGTAGTTTATTGCATATCTTAGATCAAAGTTACATTTAGAGGTATACATGTATCAAGGTCAGGGTTACATTTAAAGGTCATTCAAAATCAAGGTTACATTTAGAGGTCAGTCTAGATCAAGGTTACACTAAGAAGTCAATTTAGATTAAAGTTACATTAAGGGGTCAATTTAGATCAAACTTACATTAAGAAGTTAATCTAGATCAAGGTTACACTATGAGGTCAATTTAGATCAAAGTAAAAATACATTTAGAAGTTAATCTAGCTTGATAAAGTTTGAATTTAGGGTCAGTCTAGATTTAGGTTACACATTTACTTTTAGAGGTCTATCTAAATCTAGATTACACATGTAAGTTTAAAGGTCTATATTAAGGTTATTAAGATTAGATCTGAAAAATACCAAAAATTACAACTACAAGAAATACCCAGTGATATGCCACACTGTTGGTCACATGTTTTTATTATATGAACATTTTTAAATACAATCCAAAAGTTAAGATAATTAGTAAACAGCCAGACTTGGCAGACTTTTACCAAAGTTGTTAAGGTTGTAACAATATGGTCAAAATTGACTGCATCTTTTGGGTTACTCGTTTTTAATGGATTTGAACCATTTTTTGTGTTGAAAATATATCTTAAAGGTAACCATAGTTACCATACCATCCAGACATAAAGAAATCAAAATTTATTGATAATAATTTCTTCGTTCTTCAAAATACCTTCAGATTTTCAACAAATAATCACCTAATGGAAACTGATGTAAAAGTGGACAACTATTTATTAGTACATGTATATTATATACATCTTATTTATCATAAACAATTTACTTATTTCTTTAAGTGGAGATATCAAGTTCTTAGCAAGCTTTTTATCCTGTTTTATGTTAACTAAACTTTAGAGATATGCTATGCTTTTGGGGGGGGGGGGTAAAATACTTTTATTGGGGAAATTTATTGTAATCTAGTAAATACTTCCAGCATGAATGTCATTTCAATAAGTGAATGTAAAAACTATTTTTTTGGAAGTTGCGTTTCATATTACGTCTTGTCAATTTAATTTGGTGTATTCTTATAAAAACTGCCAGTTTATTTAAATACAGTAGAGTAAAGGTGTGTAGAGTTTAAAATATGATATGTTTTCTCTGTGTCTTTTCAAAAGGTTTTTAATTTACGTTTACAAGAGGCTGTATATACATGTAGTAATTATCAGTTGCTTTTTTCAAATATCAGATTTGAGCATAATAAATTTTCAAACAAGAAATAAGTTGTAAGGTCGTCAACGTCTATGTATAATATGTATAAGCTGAATATAGTTATACTGAGGAGATTTTGACCTTAAGGTTATTGACCTTAAAAGTTAGGATGACTACTATATATTACTGTAATATAATACTAAATTGACCTTATATGTTAAATGATAAATGATAATAAGAAATTGACTGTGTACATTTATATAGGTCAATGACTTAAAAAAGTAGGGCAAACTACTAGATGTGAGGTTTTAAATCAGCACACATCCAGATTAATAAGTTCACAGATTTGAAAATAAAAATAAGAAAAAATAAGTTTTATTAGATATATACTTATATTTAAAGAAATTGTTAATTATTGATTTGTTTTGCGAAATATGACAAAATTTTCTTTTTTTGTAACCATATTTCTGTTCCCTTCTATCAGAGTAAAGGCTTTTTATGTATATTTGGACATGTTATTTGTAATTTCTCGGGATAGTTATTGCATTAATGCCAGGTAATAACTATTCAATTGAATGGATGACAAATCTACAAATTAAAACAAAATTTAAATTTCTCATTATCCATGTATTTACCATGATAACTGAGGTGCGCTAGCTTCTTTAAGTTTATCTTTACTATACTAAATAAAGTACGTTTTTATAAGTGGTTAGATCAAGGCCTTCATTGGATACTCTTGACTTGTGATTACTAAGGGCTCTCACAATTTATTGGATTCCATGAATATTTCTTATTGTTCTTGGCAAAGAAAGTGACATCTCCTTACCAAGGTTCAAACTAACATCATATGAATTATGCAAAATCTTTTCATGTGTTTAAACGGGAACGTACTGTAAAGTACAATGAAACTAACACCAGTTTTAGTATACATATATTTCTGTAAATAATACAGTACACTGTAACATAATAAAAATGTTATAAATATATTGTCGTAGTCAGTAGCAATTCACCGGGATATATACTTAAGTATTTATTCAAACGTTAGTCACGTAATTTTCATCAATACAGCATAGCAGAATTGGAAAAAATGAAACCAATTGATATCACCTAAAACTTGTAAAATTTTAGTGATAGACTTACATATGCCTACATTGCGGAATATTTCAACGGCAGGCCTTTTTTTGTCGTTTTTGGTGCCAAATAAAAAGTTTTCACAGCGTCAGATGACTAATTTGAAAAAAAAACATGGGCATTCGAGAATTATGTAAGATTACTTTATCTATGTTTTGAGTCAGGTATGCTCTAAGTTTAAACCTGACATCTCGTCATTTAAATAAAGTATACAATTGTTTGGGTTTTTTGTATTCAGCAATTCCAGAAACTGTACAAGGAGTAAACATGTTTCATATTTCCAAGTTCAACATTTCCTTTAAAATGTCAACCCTCCTCATGATTTGCGGTAATTTATACTGCATGCAAAATGCATCTGGGTTGGATTGTAACATCAGCGTTTTGATGGTGTTGAAGGCGCCCGTTTTCATCTGGACAAGTTTGATAGGTCCTAGTTTGCTATTTTGGCGCATGGCTGCATAAACAGCGTGTCTTGAGCAAAGCTCAATGTCCACCTGAAATAAAAAAAAGTTATTTACTTTAAAAGAAATTAAGTTAGAAGATTGGAAAACATGTATGACATTTGTCATGCGTCGTTATCCAAAATTCTATTAAATAACATCCCCTTTTAACCACTTTGTATATTTTGACCAAACATCACATGAATGGTGTTCGTGATGCTAAAACAAAGTTTTCAAAGGACATTCTGGAATTATGTAAGATTAGTTTATTTTCGAGTGAACCAATTTGTAGATTTTGACCAAACACCACATACATGATATTCCTTATGCAAAAAAAAAATAAAATTTCAAAGCGTCTGATGAATGTTCCGAAGTTACCTCTACATAAGTTATATAATTTATAGTTATAGTCTGAAGCAGAAGGAGTTCACAGCAGCTGAAATAACTTAAAAATGAAATCTTAAAAAGCTAGTGATTTATAATTTTTGAATACAAGAAAACAAAAACAAAAAAAAAACCATAAAACCACAAGAATTTTTTTAAGTATTTAAGCACACAATTTACCTGTTTAATTTCTTGTTCGTCTAACCTCTGTGCTGCATTCATCTCGATAAATACAACATATTTTGGTTGCTCAAAACTGTCACCTGGTAATGCAAAATGAACTTGAATTAATTTTGTTCATTGTCCTTAGATTAACAATTTACCTGCATTGTAATCATAGATTTTGAATGAATCGTTATTTTGATAATATATAAAATTGTACCTTTCCAACTAGATCTTTGTTTCCGATCACATTTAGGAAATCAAAGCACAGAAGGCGCTGAATTTGTTTGGGTCTCAGAATGTCATAAAGGTGAAGGTTGTGAGATTGTAAACCAATTTGTTTGTATAGAGTCACCAATGCTGTTTATAGTAAATTGGATATAAGACTAATTGCAACACTGATATTCAATCAATAATTATTTGGCTTAAAAAAAATGAGATGAGTTGCCTTAACTGGGATTTGAACTTCAAACCTCTCGCTTCCAAATCGAGCGTGTAGACCCCTCAACCACGGAAATGTGAATAGTAAACCATAATATTCTAAATTAGGATTTGTAACCCTTATTAATTTCGATATACATGTATTTTGTTCACGGTAAACTGATGTAAATAATCATGGAACTTAATATAAGCATGTATATCTATAAGAGTAACACAATATTAGAAATCTTCGACCAATCGGAAACTATTTTTTCCTTACGAAAATTAATGCGCCTGTCATTTGACAATCTTTACGCAGAGATCTCCCCTAAATTTTTCGGCGTTAGTGTACATATAAAGGGAAGTAACGGCTTCGAGGAATTTGAACTACTTTCGGTATTTGCAGATAAGCACATCAGGGTCTGAAATTTCGCTACCATTATTTATTTGGTCTGACGACCCAAACAAATAAAAATGGTTTTGAAAACCATTTTAAAATTCGGATCAAAATTGAAAACATGGTAAAAGTATCTTGTTTTTTATTTCAATTGTATGTGGGTGAAAGAAGGGCTCCGTTGACGAGTGGTTCAGATCTCCGACTTTAAATCACTCGCCATCCATTGCTATGGGTCGAATCCCGTCAAGGACTTTGGATTCGTCGGTGGAAGCTATCCAGCATTAAGTTATGCGAACTTTATATTTATGCCATCGGTATTTATTCTTTGAAGGTGCTAATATATCAAGAGGACGTACTTGAAGTCTGTGAAGCCAGTTGTACATGTACACTCTCACAACTTGTAAACTCCACAAAACCTTTATTCCACGTGGTAGCCGCTGCATACACGGCGTCATGAAGGAGAAACTCCGGTACTTTCTCTAAATTAGCTGATAAAATATCACCAGCCCTGGTAATAAAGAATTGTGTTAATTGTCTGTATTCTAACCTGCTAGTAATAGGTTTCCCCAGCTATGTATATGGAACAGTTCATCTAATTAAGTATTGATCAAACTATTAACATTGAGACTGGCCGGATTGCACGAATGTTTATACTGATGGCAAAGGCTTGTCGCTTTTAATTCCAGAAGTCAAAGAGTTAAAAGACGAATTGCAATACCATTTAACAACTGATTGTTTTAGCTTATCTACACTTATCACCACTTTCCCATTATCACAGTTTCATTTGAGATTTCCAACATATAAACGGCTTCTGGTCCTTATGTTTTGGTTATATATACATTTATTTCACTCCTTATAACATATATCAAATCACTTTCAACATGTTCTACAAAAAATCATTATTGGGCCCAATCTTATCAATTTAGCCAGAGTCCAAAAATGCCATATCAAATCCATATCTCACCCTTTATAACATTGTTTTTATTTCCAAAAGGTTGATATCAAATCCAAATCTATATCACACTCATTGCTTTGTTTTTAGTTTCAAAATCCATATCGCACTTCACCGAGTCTCATTTTCATTTTTTGAGAGTCCAAAATCTATTTCAAATTCTCATTGAAATCGAAATATCATGGTTCTGTCAAAATGTCAAAAAAATAGTGGTGTGAAATAAAGAGGTCATTAAATATTGCTAAGAACATATTATTGTATTCAGCTGCAGCTATGTACTCGTCCAATAGAAGTCAGTATTGTACTAAACAATCTTTAATAACATCATACATGTAGTATGCATAGGTCCTTAGGTAAATTTTGAAGCCATAGCTTCTGAACTCGGTAATTGAATACAAGAGGTGGTATGAACAAAGTGACATTTACAGTGGACCTCAAATACAATATATATATATATATATACATGTACATGTAACTGATTCTACCTGTACATAAACTTGTACATTGGCGTCGTTTCATGAAAGCCTGTTATTTTAACGACATCCTCAGTCCTATATCTGCATAATCCATCAAATGTTGTAATGACAATTTCGTACATTTTCCCCACTTCAACCTGTTCAAAGAGCACTGAATTTAATCTTTCATGATTTCTTCAATTACGAATGAAACTAGTGCATAACTTAAATTGTATGAACTGAACTGTTATACACGCGAACATTCATTTTGTTTCTACTTAGGTAATTCTAAGTTGCGTTTTAAATTGCAGTTTTAAGTTTGGAAGAATACATAGAGGATATTCAAGTTTTTTTCAATAAATACAGGATTTATTTTCATCGAGTGGTATGAAAATAAATATTTCATGAGTGGCGGAAGCCATGAGTGAAATACGATGATTTTCATACCACAAGATGAAAAAAATAAACTTGAATTTTCTGTTTATTATATACGTTTTTCTCTTTTTTGACATTACAATATAAAAGATCTCCCCCAAAAAATTGTGTATTGGCTGAAAGTAGAAGAAAGTAGTACGGCAAGACATAAGTGAAATCAAAGCACAGAAGGCGCTGAATTTGTTTGGGTCTCAGAATGTCAGAAAGGTGAAGGTTGTGAGATTATAAACCAATTTGTTTTTGTATAGTGCCACCAATGCTTTCAAGCGTTTTAATTGTAGTAAATTGGCTATAAGACAAATTGCAACACTGATATTCAATTCAATGTTTATTTGACTTAAACAATTTGAAAAAAAAAAATAGGTTGCCTTAACTGGTATTTGAACTCAAAACCTCTCACTTCCTAAGCGAGCGCGCAAACCCCTCGGACACGGTGATGTTATATGTAATTAAGCTGCCTGAAGAAAACCATATTATTCTTAATTAGGGTTTGTAACGACGCTAACTGTTGTTTAACACAGAATGATGTAAATAATCATGGAGCTTACAATAAGCATGTATATCTATAAAGAATAAAACAATGTTAGAAATATTCGACCATTCGGGAACTATTTTGCTTGGAAATTAATGCGCCTGTCATTTGACCATCTTTACGCAGCGATCTCCCCAATCTCCGCACAGTGATCTCCCCTTAATTCTTCGGCGTAGATCTCTGCCACCAAGGTCCCGATATATCAGAATTTCTGATATACTATATTTTTTCAAAAATTGTTTTTTCTACTGCTTTTATCTATCAGATAAGTTTTTTCTCATATATTTAACAATGTTTATGAATGAATAAATAAATAATATGAATATTTAGAAATAATTTTAAAAATTATGAGATTATTTTCTACCGAGACGATATTTTGATATTTTATATTTTTTAGCTTTTGAATTTATTTTTCGTTATTTTGTATACTTTCGATAATTTTTTGATAAACTATATCGAACGTAGGCACCAAAAGTTAAAAATAACAGAAAGAGAAAAATAACGTTAGATTTTCTTTGTAACGGTCGATATTTACATTTGAATTTCGACGTTACGTCATGTGACTTTCATCATCATGTGACGTCTTTGAAGGCAGTGATTACAATTCTGCCAAGGGAGGTAATCACTGTGAGGAGTTTGCGATCTCCCCTGAAGTTTTCGGCGTTAGTGTACATATAAAGGGAAGTAACCGCTTCAAAAAAGCGGACTACTTTCGGCATTTGCAAGTCTGAAATTTCGCTACCATTATTTGTTTGGTCTGACGACCCAAACAAATAAAAACGGAAAATATGTTCACTGCAGTGAGAAATAAATTTTTACAGTGAAAATACAGAAAATGAAAATACGCATTTTATTTCATTAATATTTCATTTATAAGTATATAGATAGTAAGTTATAGTATGAATAAACGGAATTGAAGAAAAAAAGACTTAATTTTATTCTATCAACTTTCATTGTAAGCAAATATAAAAGCAAACCTGGTGAGCTAGAACGGTAGATGGCGTCTTCTCTCCATATTCTTCTGCAGGCAGAAACTCGAAGAAGTTTACTGGTAACAACGGTACATATCTAACATCTTGCTCCGCCATAGGGTTAATGTTCGCGCCGTAAAATGTTTCAGTTCCAATGTGAACTAAGCTTACAATAGGAAGCTTGCCCAGGTATTTTTCCTGTACAATGTTGGCCTGAAAATATATCAATTTTTAAGTATAGTATATAAAGAATATATATCAATAATAAAAATATTACAAACATTTATCTCTTCTTTAAAGGGACTCCTCTGAGATTTTTGTGTCGCCTCTACGGAGTAAGGGCGACATATAGGGATCATTTCTCCGTCGTCTGTCTGTCCGTCTGTCCGTCCGTCCGTCACAAAACTTGTCCGGACTACTCCTCATAAACTACTGGTGCAATTTCATCCAAACTTTACAGGAATGATCAGTACCAAGTCTAGTTGTGCATATTGTCAGCATTTTCCGGTTCAATGATTTTTGTCAGAGTTATTGCACTTAAATAATTTTTATTTTTTAAGGTTGTCCTGACTACTCCTCTCATACCACTAATTAAATGCAATTTCAATTAAATTTTAAAGGATTGATATGTAGCTCAAGTCCTTGCGCATATTGCACGGGTTTTCCGGTTGAATGATTTTTGGCCGAGTTATGGCCCTTTGATAAAAAGGTGTTGCCAGATACACAAAAGCTTGTCCGGACTACTCCTCATAAACTACTGGTGCAATTTTATCTAAACTTTACAGGAATGATCAGTACCAAGTCTAGTTGTGCACTGTCCGTCTGTCTGTCCGTCTGTCACAAAACTTGTCCCAACATGAAATTGGCCATCATGAGGGGACACATGTGATCACTGATCGCTCTTTTTCTTTAACATGACGGGACTGAAAACATTTTATTTTTCGAGATAACTATTCAAATTGATGACGATCTGGACATACAACTTGTATGCAAAATTTCAGATCATTCTCTCACTCCATTTTTTCCAAAATGATAATTCTAATTGTAAATATGACCGAAAACAGAAAAGCGTTGCAACGCTTTTTACACAAATAAGGCTAAGAATAACGCATAAATACGATTTTCACTTTTTTCTAAGTATATTTCTTAAATATATTTGCGTATCTTTCTGTTTTAAGTGTCGCAGCTGTTTTGCTTTTGGACCTCAGTAGAATTCCTTTTCAGCAAGTCCATTTATCTCAATTCAAAATATTTTATTTATATAACGTATTCAAATTTTGCGAAGTGAAACTTGTACAAACTGTACAATTATCAAACTGACGTACCGGTATCCAATACCTACCGCTGTTTCAAAGACGCCGGTTTTTAACGCTAGAAGACATGGGCATGCTGGCCATATTCTTGAAACTATATCCTGAAACCCCTTCGCAAATTCTTTTCTCAGTAATGCAGCTCTCTTTGGACGTGCTTTCATCAAACTATTTAATCGGGTCCTTTCAGATATTGGGATATTCAGATGCTCTGAAAGTGCTCCGTTTTCTACATCGTTGCATAGAGTTTCCCAGTCCTTTTCCAAGATAGAAAACATAGATAACGCTGTACTGGAAACCATTGTTGAAAAACATAACACATTATCTTCTATCAGACTAAATGCTAAATGAATATACAGAGACTCATATTCAGTGTGCACTAAGGCGCTTGGTATGACCGAAAACGGGAAGTTAATTTTGTATGTTACAGCTGAAATCGGTCCAGATTCAAGTCCAGATTTAGTTGTGATCATCTTCGGTATAACCTTTACATACAGCCATTTGCTAAGGAAATTGTTTCCAGTTGCGAAAATCATCTTGTAGTGCATTATCAAAAGCCATGGAGCCACCTTCCATGTTGCTTTAGGGTTTTTCGGAAATGCCTTGCTTTTCCCGGAAGTAGTACCAGAAGTAAGTGCTATAAAGAAAGCTTTTCCTGGAAACAAAACATCTTCTGCACCGTCTTCTTTTATCATTTCTGCATACTTCCGGTATTCATCGTAGGTCGTAAGTGGCATTTTTTCTCTAAACGATTCGACGGAGGTCACATTTTCTAGACCATGATCCTTTGAAAATAGTGTGTCCTTGTTTTGTGTTAAGATTTGTTTTAAGACTTTTTCTTGGTGATCTTTGCTATTTTTGCATAGCTTATTAAATCGTTTCAGCATAATAAATCCGAGTATTTGTGTAATTTTTAGGAAAGCGTAATGTAATATCAAAGTTTTGAATGTATAAGATGGCTCTGGTTTCAGACGGTAAATATCAAGGAGTAATAATCCAACCATAATTCCGGCTACTGATACCAAATCTGTAAAGATAAACGCATGGGAAAGTCTTTGTAAGGAAAATAAATTCAACGTTATGTCAAACTTTGTATAGTTAAACAGTACATGATTGGTTACTGCTGATATATCAAAGCAGCATACCTCCAGATTGATGCAAAACTTCATTTCAATTTTGAAAATGTACTTCATTGTGAAATGACGAAAGATATTAATTTATTCATTGCAAACGCCGCTTATATTACAATCCAAGTAAAGTAGCAAAAAGAGGCCAAAATATGAAAAACTACTCTTTATTGCGTTAGTAACGCAGAAGAAATATGGTGTAAATACTGCAAAATAGTCATTAATCATCCATATTATGTTAATTTTTACTTAAATCCTTAATCGTTTACTTTTCTTAAAATGTTAGTACATTTTTCTCAAGTTTGATTGTCTTGCAATGTATAATTTGGCTTGGCTTTAACACTGGATTTTTATCTCATATAAAGATGCTCAAAATTATTAATATAACATGATGCAAAGTATATATCTTAATTCAGTGGAATGTATTTATCGCCTCACACACAAAAATTGATCATGTACGAACTTTCTTTTATTAACAAATACAACATGTACTCAAATGAAATTTTACAAACACAAATACATGTATATACATGTATATTAAAATATTCCGTATGAAGTTTTTGTGCACATTTAATACTATAAACGTTATGTGTATTAAAATCATTCAATCATGATATACTTCATTTAAAAAGAAATCTGAAACCAAGCCAATACACAAATAACTTACCCAGCAGTAAATTCTTCTCTTCTTGGTTCCAACAACAAAAAAATCTCCCAAAACATATTGGCAGAGTAAAAAGAGCTGCACAAAGTATGTTATTTCTGGTTGCAAAAACCATGGTTGAATTATAATCTGAATTATTTAACTTCCCTTCTGTTGTATTATGGAACTTTAATTTGCCTTAATCTAAAAGTGCTAGGCTATTTTTCCTGTTATTTGCGTACACTGTATATTTTAGTAAATTGCACACATCCTTGCTCCGAATGCAAAAAAAAATACCACTTCGCATAAAATTTCCTGCAGTTAAATTATTCAATGTTTTATTTTCATCGTTCCCCTTTCGCTCAAACACCATAAGATCATTTGAAAAGAAGAAAATTACACAATGTCTCCGCTAACGTTATAATATGTTGTTTTTAAATGTCAGAGTCACCTAATTTCTAAATCGTATGCTTATTGAAGTAGAAGAGTAATGTAAACTTGTTTTTTTTGGCTGTAAATAGAACGAATGATATTTATATCTCAATGACTCGTTTCAAGCGGCGTACAAAATTTTAAATAAAATGTAACTTTATACAACGTAATCATGTATATCCACAATTCTGTCTGCGGTTATGTTATATGGAAGACAGTACCTCAATATTTAGGTCAAGGCTGTATTTATTCATAATCTTAATCTAGACAAAATAAGATAGTAAGTGGGAATTAATTTTATAGGATGAAAATAAAATAAAATTTGGTGTATTGTTTCTTGATGTTTTCTAATTTAATGAACAAATTTACAACCATGCCCTTTAAGGAACGATACTAAGGTTGCTTTTATTACATGATGGGACTAGAAATATCTTTTTAGAGATTCGTGTACAATTTGATGTATATCTGGACCAATAACTTACCCCGTTAATCAGAACAATAATTCTGATTGTGCAAAATGACAAAAAAGTAATAAGCATCCAAAAGCTTTAAACTCACATGGGTGTGATAATCGCTCAGAAAAATGTGCAGGCATACACCCTATAACCACTTGTACATGTATTTCATTCGCGATATTGTACAATGTAGGTTTAGTGTCAAATTATGTAGGTTACCCAGCTAGCCCATTTAGAGTAATAACATTTCTGTTAGGGCATATCGTCTTTAAAAAGATACCACGCTCTGTTGACTTATTTAATATGTTAAACATCTATATATTAACTTACCTATCGGCTCCTTTGTTAAAAGCGGTCTAGTAAATCACTTACCGACCGGTTTACAGGTCTGCAAATAGATACCGACCGGTTATTGTTCTATTGTTCTCTATACAATAGAAAATATGTGAAGTCGAGAAACTCGTGCATTACAGTACACAATATTCAAGGTAAACAGAACAGAACAGAACATATCTTTATTAACTCAAGTTACATACAATATAACACATGAGTATACATAACAGTAGTGAATATTTGTTAATTTAACACATGACATGGTTTTATTCAATAAATTTCTACACAGTTCAAAAATATTTTGAAGATATTTGTAAGAGGAAAATTAATTATTATCATTATCATGGGAGAATGAGAGATGAAAAAAGAAAAGAAAAACAACTTGTACGTTGGAGTTATAGAATGTGTAGTGGGTGGTGCAGGCCACGATTACCGCCATAACCGCCATTATTACCGCGTGTTTTTGCTGAACACTGTGCAAAATCACTCTTAGAGGTCGAATTCTTCAGCTGTTTTCCATTTCTGTCTAGTCACTACCAAATTAAATAATATAAGCACCAATATATATGAATAAAGGTCCAAATAATCACTAGAATTGGAAAAATAACCGAGTTTTCACCGAGCGAAATTTCACCGTGCTTCACTATCTCATGTCACGTGATCATCAATCAAATGAACGCTGAATTGTGGGGGAGGGGGGGGGGGTAATGACCACTTTGAATAGGAAAAAGGGTCGATATATATTTAAAAGATTAATCGATTAGCGCAAACGGCTGTAAGGACCCTCATAACTTATATTCCAGATTATTTGTGAGAAAAACCGAACTGGCTACTGTTCTGGCGTTGAAGTTTTGTGTTTCGCCTATATTAATGAGTATAACAACGCACATTAATCCTTTCTTTTGCTTTTCGGTATACCTAACACATTTGCCGAACTATATAGCTTCATAAGATACTAGTTTTCGGTATTTATTTCCACAACTATGTCTGAATTTGCACAATCCTGCATTATTTTAACAATTCTGCATTAAGGGATATATACGAAGATTATATTATTGGTGCATATCGAATCAAAGTCAACTTCTGCATCTTTCTTTCCTAAAATAATACTTTCAGTGAGAGTATAGTTCATCTTAAGTATAAAACCGTTTTTCTCATTGTTTTCCCAGTTATTTTTACATTACAATTTGGATTTTGTATACCAGTACCAAGAATACGACTTGCGCTTCCATTCAAGACCGCGTGCTTACATGCGGTCTTATAACGGATGATGCTAATTAAGAATACACGGAAAGAAAATTCATCAAAACATGGATGAAATTATAAGAACATTTAAAATCAGCCATCATAAAAAACAACAGCAACAAAACCAAACTTACATGGCGGTGTAACTATGTACATGTATTACTAATATTTATTCATAGAACCCTGTCTTTTACTTTCCTTTGAAAAAATCGTATATTTTAATTATATAAGAAATAGCCTGATCATCTATTTACCATGAAATTTATTATATATAAAGATAAAGTGTTCTGTTTTTATGATTAGAAAACATTTTTATCTTCCTCAGTGTTTGTTTATATTATTAATATGTTATGTATTCATATATTGACAATATCAAAATAATGATCTTACCTTTCCCTACTCGACTCATTTTCTGTCACTCAACTCAACAAGTACATTACCTGACCTTATTACCTAATGAAACCCCACGAAAATCACGAGAATATTCAAATAACACCTGATTTGTGAACGAATGAATTACAAGAGCGTAGCGGATGGTATTTTTGCTTTGCTTTGGAATGCTTTCTTAAACATGATAAAGTACATAAGTAATATGTTTCTTGTGTGTAATATTAATAAATACTGATGTATGGATAGAAAAACAAAAGAGCATGTAGGTAAGATAGTTACCGCACTCGGAATAGGGCTGCATAGTATTTACAGACCCGGTGGCCTTTTAAAAACCTCGATCGCTACGCTCTCTCGGTCTTCAAATCGCCACCCGGGTCTGTAAATACTATGCAGACCTATTCCTCGTACGGTAACTATTACATAACATTGAATGAAATTATTTTCGTTTCGAACAATACGTAGTTTATGGTATCTGTTATATCTATAGCAAATATTTATGATTTTACGTTAATTCGATTTACTCTGTTGCACATTCCTTTATCATTTTGAACGATTTTCACGTGCGTGTACTGTATATAAGGGAGTATATGTGTAAAAGCGTCACTCGAGGTCTGTATTTGACAGAATACAATTCGTAAAATGACAGAAGAAAGCATACATATTCCCGTCCCACCCACCCTTTTTATGTTCTGTTTTTATTTTTACAGTCTTTTCTTAGTTTCAGATATTTGCAGTTGATTTCATCATGACTCCGCCGAAATTCGAGACAGCCCTCTTTCCAGCAGATGTTTTTTGCAATAGACTAGGGAAATTATTGATCTTGATATGTGATAATTCTGTCAAATACAACGACCTAAACCTATAATGTTTGTTGTTGTTTTTGTTGTTTAGAAGTATTTGAGAATAGAAAATAATTGATTTACTCACGGTTTAGTGAGTAACTTAATTTATTATGTAGTTAACGTAACGAAATGATAATTTTGGTAACCTCAAATCAACACAGGACGCAAATAAATCAAGTTGAAAGTGAATCTGTACTCATGATAATCATGTTTGATCTTGTATCAACAACAATATGATAAATTTAATGTTACTGTATTTTTTCCTGGTTTGACAAACCATGCAGTACTGGTGTTAAATGACAGCAACATAGTCGTGACTTTGGGTTAGTGCTCAAACTTCTTTTTTGTGTCGAGTGGATGAGATACATAATACACAAATTCCTTATAACACAAAGAATTTCAATGAAATAAGGCGCCAAAATGTAACGTTTTCGTAGGTTGAACATAAATGGCGAGTACTTTAATTGTATCCCCTACCGAACAGTTTAATCACATTTCGTATATTTAAACTTTTTTTTTCATTTTCCATTTTGTCTACAAAGCAATTAGAAGTGTTAAATAGGTAGTAAAAAACAAACAAACAGACAAAAGTACTGTATTAATAACAACAGTATAAAACAATAAAAAATATACCATATACAAGTATTATTATAACGTCATACTGAAAATTCACTAAAAAATCACCGGTATTTAGCTCAAAATCCAATGTGATTTAGGATGTTCCGTAAAATTACAAAATTGATAACAGTTTTTCAATGATTTCGAATGTTTCATTTATACTTTCATGTCCAGCATGGCCTTCAAAATGTCGACCCTTCTCATGATTCTTGGCAACTTATACTGCATGTAAAATGCATCTGGGTTTGATGACAGCATCAACTTTTTTATTTCACGAAAAGCACCTGTCCTTAGGTGAACAATTTTAATTGGTTTAAGTTTGTTGTTTCTTCGCATGGCATCGTACACTGTATGTCTGGCACAAATCTCAGCATCAACCTGAATCATTATCAATAATGTAACAATAATGCAATTATAGAAATTAATGACTCTTTTTTAGAAACAAAAGTTTACAAAAGATCGCAGTTTACCGTTCTTGTCACATACCGACTGGAGATAAAATTGCTTATCTCTATGGAATAGTTGATGTTTTGTTTTTGTGTTTCTATATATTGTTTAGAAGATCACATTTTAAATTAAGATATGTTATTTGTTTTCTACGATGGTATATCTTCGTTAGTTAACTTCTGTAAAAATATATCATCATCATCATCATCATCATCATCATTATTATTATTATTATTATTATTATTATTATTATTATTATTATTATTATTATTATTATTATTATTCAAGAACGTGATTGTCAGTTTTACGTTAGACAATTGTGTTTAATTTTGCTTAATATCAATATTTTCCGAATTTACCAAAGTTGTATGAAAGACCTGCCGCACAGATTAACCGGACATATACTTTAGGGTTGATACCAGTATCAATTAGAAAACCTTTCTAACTAACAACAAAACATGCGTAATGTAATCAGTTACTGTGCTTATATATGAAGAAAAACATTTGTTGACATCAGAATAATTATCTTGCCAGTGGCAGTGCTTTGTGGAAATTTTGTAAACATCTATGCATTTCTCAGAATAAAAGAATGACTCTCATATACGTTTTTACCCTTTTTTAAAGTAATAGATTATTTGCGTCTTTCGTGTTAGCAGTCATTTCAGCCACTGACATGAAAAGTTCCTTGCATTTGACACACAGTTTAAAAAATCATAACTGTTTTACAAATAAGCCAGCATTCCATAAGACGGTTAAACTCACGTTCATGTTCTCCAATTTGTTATAATTATGATTCTTACCAATTCTATTTCGTGTTCACCTAATTTGTCAGATGGTTATCTTCTTGTTCTTATAATTTGCTACCAACTCAATTTTGTGTTCGTCTAATTTGTCAGATGTTGAGTTTTACCAACTCAATGTCTCGTATTGTTTTTTACCAACTCAATGTCTCGTATTGTTTTTTACCAACTCAATGTCTCGTATTGTTTTTTTACCAACTCAATGTCTCGTATTGTTTTTTACCAACTCAATGTCTCGTATTGTTTTTTACCAACTCAATGTCTCGTATTGTTTTTTACCAACTCAATGTCTCGTATTGTTTTTTATTTGTTTGGGTCGTCAGACCAAACAAATAATGGTAGCGAAATTTCAGAGTCTAATGTTGTTAATTGCAAATGCCGAAAGTAGTCCACTTTTTTGAAGCGGTTACTTCCCTTTTGTATGTACACTAAAGCCGAAAAATTCAGGGGAGATCACTGCGTAAAGATGGTCAAAGACAGGCGCATCAATTTTCAAGCAAAGTAATTCCCGAATGGTCGAAGATTTCTAATATTGTTTTATTGTATTTTCTGATCGAAAATAACTAAATACAAAGCGGACATTCAATCTCTGACACAGAAGTTTACGACAAACCTAACAACAAGTAGTTCTCAAAACAGCTTAAAACTAGCGATTTAAAAGAATGAAATATTTTATTTTGTTACAAGTATCCAACAAATTACAACGCATTTAAAGTTAAACAATAGCGTTGGCTTATAGAATTGTCAATAAATGCACAATCACAAATTACGCGGATGAATATGATTTTATCAATGAAAATACTATTTATTACCGAATACTACACAAACCGAGTAGTGGAATATATAGATTCTACATGTCGGACTGTTTGGGCGAGAGGATTTTCGCTAAAATATTTACTTCAATTTTAAACAACAGGTTTACCCTGAACAAAATACCTCAAAATTAATAAGGATTACAAACCCGAAATGCAATGGAAGTTCTAAATTTAGAATGACTTGATATTATTCAGACTTTCTGTGTATAACTTCTTCGTGGTACAGTGGTAACGCGCTCGCTTAGTGAGAGAGAGGTCTCAAGTTTGAATCCCAGTCGAGGAAACTTTTTTTTTTGTTAAATTCTTTTTTAAGTGTTTTTGTTAAGGAAGTAGCCATGATATGCAAGGATAAAGTGTGGCTGTCGTAAAAAATGAACATAAATGATTTTTTGATGCAACTCTAGTTATGCAGAATTCCGTATGTATCAAACTCTGGTGCCTTGCAAAATGAATTATAATACATAAAAATTAACCTATACAGGAAAATGCATACAGATATACAGTACGATTTAGATTGCAAAGATCAGAAAATACCACAGAACTTGCAGCCCTTTGATTCTTTATAAATATAAATGCTTATAGTAAGCTCCAGGATTATTCACATCTGTGTTAAACAACAGTTAAAGTCGTTACAAGCCCTAATTTAGAATAATATGGTTTTCTTCAGCCCGTTCACATATAAATTCACCGTGGCTGAAGGGTTTTCGGGCTCGCTTAGGAAGCGAGAGGTCTGGAGTTCAAATCCCAGTAAAGGTAACTCATTTTTTTTTCAAATTGTTAAAGTCAAATAAACATTGGATTGAATATCAGTGTTGCAATTAGTCTTATAGCCAATTTACTACAATTAAAACGCTGGAAAGCATTGGTGGCACTATACATATAATCTCACAACCTGCACCTTTCTTACATTCTGAGACCCAAACAAATTCAGCGCCTTCTGTGCTTTGATTTGGGATGGTGATACTTACCAACTCAATTTCCTGATCGTTTAATTTGCCGGCGTCCTGGAGCTCAATAAACACAAAATATCCTAAGGCGTAATCAGTCCCTGAAAGAAAACGAACAAAGATGTCGATGACCATTATTTAAAAAAAAAACTATTTGTATGTATAATTAGTATAATTTATTAGTTATATTAGACCACAATTCTGGCAAAATCTTTCAATTTTTTAACAGGACGATTTCTAGTGACATACTTTAAATAACTTTTCACCTGTATGTAATTATAATGTTACATAAGTATGTTTCTTTATTTTATATGTACGTATGGATCCAGTTTACTATCAAAAGATAATAAGTTGAGTCTGCAATTTAAGTAATTGACCCTTACCCCACTATATATTTAGTTTAAACTTGTCACATTAAATTACGTACGGTGCAGACCATGATGAGACGGCACGGATGTATCGGCTGATCTTGGTCTGCACTGGTCGCATGTGTAGAAGCAGTTGCCGTCGGCAGACTAAGATTTAAATATAACATGAGCCGTGTCACGACAAAACCAACGTATTGCGTTTGCGACCAGCATGGATCCAGACCAGCCTTCGCATCCGCGCAGTCTGATCAGGATCCATGCTATTCGCTATCAGTTTCTTTACTTGTTATAGGGTTTGTAAGCGAACAGCATGGATCCGGTCAGACTGCGCGGATGCGCAGGCTGGTCTGGATCCATGCTGGTCGCAAACGCACTATGTTGAATTTGTCGTGACGCGGCTCATATATATACCTGATGCTAGTTGTACATGGACGCTCTCACAACTTGTAAATTCTACAATACTATTACTGCGCGCGGCGGCAGCGGCATACACGGCGTCATGAAGGAGAAACTCCGGCAGCTTTTCTAAATGTGCCGACAACGTGTCACCAGCCCTGATAATAAACTGAAACTGAAACTGTTTTATTTGCTTAAACGCCTATTTCTACATATAATACATATTCAATGGCGTTGTACAATATCACATCAGATCATTAAAAGTAATAAATAAATGTAGTTTAAGAATAATAAAACAATTAATTCTAAATCTAAATCTAAAACATGGTATCACAAATAAAAGAAAGTAATGGTATTTAAAATAATTAAAAATATGGCTATATTATTAAAGGACATGGTAAAAGACATGCAAATGTTACTTGGATAATAAATACATTGTAAAATCAGATATTCATCACAGAGTTAATGCGCAGAAAAACATTGTCTCTTAGTTTCTACACTTTACTGACTTTGACTTAAAAAGATTAAAATAGTCTCTGAAGAAATGAGTCTTCAAGTGTTTCTTGAAACTATCAACTTAATGTAATAATAATGATGTATGATAATAATGATATTTGTTATACATTGTACATGTAAATTGATACATTGTCCATCTAAAAACATTTTATTGCCTTGGATGCGGATGATTGCTTCCCGTAGTTAATCCACATGTTGGATCCAAATGGTTAATTTCATAATAATTACCGTCTATGATGGTCAATGAAATAAAGGGTTATGATTAGTAATAATAACAATCATTACATGGTTTTCTGATTGTAACAGTCAGATTGTTCTTTTTAATCTAAAATGCAGGAATTA